GGATATGAAAGAAGATCACACTTTTTTTACGAGTAGTAAAACACTGGCAGAGAAGAGGAACAGAGGTTTTCTCATTGTCTCAGTAGCTAGGGGGAAAAAAAGCTCTGCAGACATTTCAGGTGCTTCAGCCAACATGAAACATGCAGCAGAATCAAAGGGGGTAGCTTACATGTCTCTTCACCATTCCTCATACTTAACTGCTAGTATCTACTTGCACTAATCAAAGCCCTGGCTCCTCATTTCAAAAAACACCCCTTTTTTCTACCTTCCCCAGCTATTCAGCATTAATCTCTATTTAGTATTTTCATGAGGCATACCATTTAGCTTTTTTTAGTTTCAACTGGCATTCTTTCATGAAAAAGCCACCTCATTGACTTGCAATATGCCATTTAAATAAAGTAGTCTAAAATAGAATATTTGGTTTAGCCCTCTGTACTTTTATGCACCTGTACTTCAGCGCTCAGTATTTAAAATGTGGGTCATTTCCGAGGCTCACATTTCTGAAATTGTAGTCCACTGAACTGTTCCTCACTGACATTTAAAACATATCTTCTAAAGAAATGTCATACGGGTGACCAACATATCATGAAATGCAGACAACAGCATTACTAATAAATGGTCAAATGTCTGCTATATCCTTACCACTGATAATTCCAGAATAACAAATGAACCCAAAAGTAGTAATGTTTATGTACTTCTTATCATCCTACAGGATGTCAAGACCATTATGCACACCAAAAGCTCGGGGACTCCACTTTCTGATGAACTACGCAAGGACAGCCACTTTCATATGAAAAGATCAGCACCCAACTCTACAGACATGAGGAATTAAGCTTTTTATACAAAATATGCTCAAATGAACGACTGCCCTTTTCTCAATCGCCTTTCCAATGTCATAATACACTGTGCCTGACAAATACAAAACCAGCTCAAAGCTGTAGCATTGGAGGCTAACAAGTACTGTGCATTGGATTCAACAATGTAAATTCCAAAACCAGGTACGCTATGAAACTGCCCTGAGTAGGTTTGACCATTCTAACCTTCTAAATGGCTGTAGACCAAAGTTGCAAGTGCCAGTCTCGGCAATTCAAAGTGAAAGTAATTTTCAGTGATTTGACCGAAGTGTGCATAGCTTATCCATGAGATGGTTTTGCTTTGTTTTTAATAAAGAGAATGCAAAAAAAAAAAGTATCATATCATGGACAGCAAGACATAATGAAGCTCTTATATGAAGAGATGTGTGCCTGTATGTGATTAAAGATATCGATAAACTTGCAATTATTAGAAATGCTATGTTTAATTGAACTGGATCAGTGAATTACTACTGCAGTTTTTAAATTAGTATCTAAGTTGAATTTGCCCTTTAAATTTTAAATAAATGTTCTTTCGAGATTCCTATTATTTCATTCTTACAGGTACAATTAATATGGCTAAACAAAGTAAAACTTCAAATATCCAGTCTGTGTTGTACTTAAAAATGAAGTTGCGATCTCCATTTCCCTAAAATAAATTACAGTCCTATGACTATTTACATGCCTGTAAAACTATATACTATTATTCTACATATTCATATAGAAAGAAATTTAAAATTAAATGTGTTTCAGAATTAAAGCATCCATCGGTCCCTTTTTTTCAAACTTGTCTGAACACAATCTTCGCATTATAAAGTGAAAAATAATTTGGAAATACAAAGCTTGCCACTGCAAAAAAGACAAGTATTGCAAGGAAACTCTGGAGAGTGTAGCACCCAAAACCAACTTCAAGTACAGTACTTGAAAATGGCTAGATTTGAAGCTGACAGCAAGACCTGTAACACTGAACTGACTATGTAACAAATACTGAGGGTTAATTATACATCTGCAATTAAATCATTATCATCGGAGTGCTGGAACTATGAGGATACACATTTGCCTCTAGTCCATTTCAATTACTTTTTATAGAGAATATAAAGAATTTGAAACATTTCAGTAATTTTCTTCTGTCAAGAACCTGTTCTTGACTCTGATTTTGTGCTTTTCAGAAAAAACTCAGGGCCTGAACTGCGACCTGGAGGAAAAGGATTCTGCAATTGTTAGCCTTCATGATGCCAGTTTAGCAAATGATAAACTGTATGGTATAAAACATTGCCAATTACCTCAACAGTATACTAAGTCAGTTGTATATTACCCTAATTTTCATTTGCCAAGCAGTTTTAATCAAAAGCAAAATGTCAACCATTACAGGAAAACAACACCGAGCATGTTTTATTTAGGAGTATGATTATTTCTCAGCTTTAAATATACCTTTTCCAAGACTTTAAATGTTAGGGTTAATTTGTATGTATTATTAGGTACAGCACTGACAATGCCACGTATCATCACTAGACGCTGAACAGCTTTCCGCAATAGCCAGCATTATTTCCAGTAGTCAGCGTTCAAATAAATGTGAAATATTTCCTCCTAATCAAATTAATGACAAGTCTACATTAATCACTTCAATCCTGACTGCTATATAGGATAGCTATAAAACAAGACACTACTCAGCTCACACACAAGCCTGGAGTAAGCTATACTACCTAGATGGACAGCTGCCTTCATTTTAGCTTCATTACAGAATACAAACAAAACTCCTTCTTTAAAAAAAAACCCAAACAAACAAATCAAGTCCAGAAGTACCCAACCTACAGACTTAAGTGTTTAAATGTATTGGAATGTTTTTTCTTAAGCATCACCTTGTTTTCACCAGTAAGTTACATAAACTGCTATAAAATTATTAACCAAATGCAAACTGCATAAGAGAAAGTATGGTAAAAGTTTTGATATGATTTAGACTACCCCATCTGCTAGGAAATTTAATGTATATCTATTTTAAGACAAAAAACTCCAGAACAGCAGTCAGACAGGATTTCTGGAGCATAACATGACCTTAAAACATAACATAAACAAAGTAAAGGATTTTTACAAGTGAAGCGCAAATATTTTCTAAGTTAATCAAAACTATTTGGGTACAGCAATCTACTGACTCACACATTTCAGCTACTTTAAATATTTAGTAATCATTTCAGTTCTAAAATGCAAAATATGTATAGGTAAGTTTGACCAGAGACAATGATGGAAAGTTAAATTAAAGTCATGTTCTGCACTGGGTAAAGAAGTGTTAGAGTGGCTAGCAATGACACTTGGGATTCCCTAAACACAGCAAGTCTTGTACCATTTACTTCCAGGATCAGGGGTTTAGTCATGATATCTTTAAAAACTTCCCATCAGTGTAGCCCAGCATCCAAATACAGAGATACAGCTTAAACTATAGACGCTGTCTATTAATACTATAATAGTATTATAAGAGATAAGTTGGTTAAAATGTCCGTCTGATATTCTGCATTTTCTTTTCCAACAACCCAAAGGGTACTGTTTTTCAAGCATTTAGAAAACGTAAAGCATATTGGTAAAGCTCTCCTCTTCAGTACAGTTGTCACCTTAAGTTTCAGACTTAATTATTTTTACAGTACTTATACCTGAGCACTCAGCAAGCCAGTCATAAGTTGTTTTTCAATATGAAAGTGAAGACTTCTGCTCGTACTAGTAGGTATATGAGGAAAACAGTCTAAATACCCTATGTTCTTCTGTTCTTGTGACCAAATTCTTCCTTTTCCCATATATGCCAATCAAATAATAAAATTGGAAAAATAGAGTTTATTTTTCTTCTAGCGGCCACAATATGTTTTCTTCTACTTAAGAATTCAAATTGCATGAAGTGCAACACCTAGAACTGCACATCAGTTAGGGCTGCATAACTGCTCCTGAGTTATTGGAGAGTACCTGCTTATTTTAAAACCTATCTTACTGTAGTTTCTAGAAACAACGTGTTCCACCACAGCTCAAATGGAACCATATTACTTAAAATCATTAAAATCATACTACATCCTTGCAGGGGTGGGTGAGAGAGCAACTCGGAGTTCCAGTATGTGAACGGTCTGTAGAAGTATATATTGTAATCAGTGATGATACTTTCTAAGGTCAATATAAGTAAAAATCTACTTTGTGACACGGATGACTCTGTAAGAAGAAAAATACGTATTCATTTTTCTTGGTTTTACATTAACTTCAAAATATAAACACTACAAACTGACAATGAAAGGAACAAAGAGTTGCCACAAGAACCATCTTGCTATAAAATAAACATTAACTTTCGGCACAAAAGAGAAGCCAGGTGCCGTATCAATACCTCAGCCTGTAAGCATGTGTTCTTGAGTGCCCGCTCTCTGCACAGTACTTCGGTGCAGGATTTGAGCTCTGTGCAGCACGTAGGGAATGTCTGCTTCCATCTCGACCACTGCGAATATACTACGCTCAAACACGGAGACAAGCCTTCGAGGCCTTTGTATTCCCATCCCCAGATTTAAAACACAGCTCCACGAGGTGTTAAAAATGCACGCTGGCGGGGTGCGGGCACACATGTAAGCAGCGAGGAGGAAGAGGGTGGCAGGAGAGGAGAGGAAAGGCGGGGAAGGGCACGGACCCCCTGCCTGGCGGTCCTGGAGCCCCCCACGCCGCCCCGCGCAGCCTCCTCTGGCCGCCGCGTGAAGTTGGCCGGGCATCACCCGCCCCACTGCAGGCCAGGCGCAGGAGAGAGGCCTCCTCCTCTTCCTCCCGCGCCCTCCTCTCTCCCCAGTCCGCCGCCAGATCCATTCTTCCCCTCCAGCCGCCCCCAGCCTCACGGCGGAAGGAGTTGGGTGGAAGGGGGGGCGTCTCCATTACCCTCTCCACCCGCCCGCTTCCCAGGGACGGCGACAAGGGCCCTTTCCCGCCCGACGCGGGGGGGAGCCCCGGGCAGACCTGCGGGAGCGCTCCCGCACCCCCGGGCCTCCCCGGCTCTCGCACCCTCCCCGCGAGAAGGAGGGGGCAGGGAAGGCGCCGGGCCCTGGGGCCCCGCCCGCTCCCCGGCCCCGAGGAGGGAGAGCCGTGGAGAAAGGGCTACACACCTCGCTGTTAAAGGCTTTCACGGCCTCCATGTCGCGGCGGAGGCGGGGGCCGGGCGGCTTCTCTCCGCGGATGGCGGCCGGGCCGGGCCGGGCGGGGGCAAGTCTCGGTCGGTGCGTGCGTGCGCTCCTCGCTCAGGGGCCGCCGGGCCTCCTCTCCATGGCGGCTGGCGCAGGGGGCGGGCGCGAGGAGACGGGGGGCCCCGCTCGTTTCCGTCTCCTCCTCGCCCCGCTTCCCGCCCGGCGGCGCCGGCGCTCCCCTCCCTCCCCTCCCTCCCTCCCTCCCGTCCTCCCTCCCTGGCGCGCTGTGCTCCGGGCGGCCACGCCGGCAGGAGATGGGCGAACAACGCGCAGCGGCTGCGGCGCGGGCGCCAATATGGCGGACACGCGGGGGCTCCTCGCAGCGCAGCACCCGGAGCGGCGCAGAGCGGCCACAGCGCCCCCTGCCGGGCGGCACCCGCACACCGCCCGCGCCACGGGCGCTGCCGGGATGGCGGCGCGTCCGCCCCGCCCGATCCCCTCCTCCTCCTCCTGCGCTTCCGTGCTCCTCCTCCTCCGAGAGCGGGCGAGAAGGGAAGGGTTACGGGAGCGCGGTGTTAAACGCCTCTCTGTGTCGTCACCGGAGGCAAGTCCAGGAGTTCTCGGGACACCGTTTTCGTGTTTCCGGATCCCCGGACGGTTCGCGTTACCTTCCTCCCATCGAGGCCCGCCGGGGAAACCGGGAACGGCACGCAGGCTTGAAGAAAAGCAACGGGAGAGAGAATCAGCGAGACGTAGGAGGGCAAATAACTCCCGACAATTAAATAAACCCATTAGTAATCAATATTATTTATCGAGAGGAAAGAAGAAAACCCACAAAATCGTAATGCAAATCGATCACGAGACCCAGTGCACTTAATACATGAATATTATGACTTAACAATCCAACACCAAAAGGTTTCCAAGTTCATGCCTAGGCATTGAGGCATTTCTGTTTGACAACCCAGGGTGTGTTCCCAGGTTAAGTTGTGGACAGGGTGCAGTTCCATGAACAGCAGTGCCACCCATACCTGCACCACCATGCCAGTCCAGCAGAGCGCCTGCCTCCCCCTGAAGAACAAACACCTTGCTCAGCTCAGAAATCCCAGCAGCAACAGCTCTATCAAACAGGAAGACTTGCATCTAGGGCATAGGTGTTTGTTCCCTCAAACACAAAGCTGCCACATGACTCAGCTTCATAAGGGGGAGCCTGAAGGAGCTCAGAACCACTGAGGATGAAACCTTAGGTTTGTCTTTAGCTGCTGTTTCCCCTTGTTTGGTTATGTTCTTTCAACTCTACTGACACAACAGACATATGACAGCATGAATTAGGCTCCCGTTTGAATTGTGTTTCATTATTTTCCAGTGACAACCCTAAGCCAGGCTCTGGATAGACGGTGCCTTCCTGCTCTCACAAGTACCCCTCAGACCAGAGCCATAAGGGCTCTTCATGGACAGTGAAGATCCCATTTCAGGCCTGAGCCACAAGTACCCCTCAGACCAGAGCCATAAGGGCTCTTCATGGACAGTGAAGATCCCACTGCAGGCCTGAGCCACAGCCTTACAAACTGAAGTGAGTTTTACTCAAAAACAAGGTAAGTTATAAATTAAGATAAGCCCAGCATCTGAGGCAGACCTAGAATCCTACAGCTCCATTCTTATACAAACACAAGAGAAATTATTAAGTCTTTTTACGAACAGAATTGGAAGTTCCTCCACCCTTACCCCCCAGCCAGCTTACTTAGGGAAAAAGCCTATCTCTAACAACCACTGCTGTTGCAGTCTCAAGCCACCAAGAGGGCCAGGAGGCAAGAGCAAATGCCCTGTTATGAGAGAATGAGAGGACAGGGTCTATTCAGACTGAAAAGAAAGATGGCCATGAGGTAGGGAGGGCACCCACTAGCAGCCAATACCTGCAAAGCAAAATAACTGTATAATGCTCATTAACATTTTTTATCATTTGTAAGCAATTGACTAAGGCTTTTTGCAGACCTCCTACATAGCAGGAGGTCAAGAGGCACTGGTCTTCACTTAAAGCAGGAGAGGTTCTGACCTCTCAACTGAAGGAAAGCCTTTTCCATTGTGAAGGTGGCCAAGCAGTGAAGTAGGTTTTCCAGAAAAGCTGTGCAGTCTCTCTTTCCAAGGTCCCATGGGATAAAGACCTTAGCAAGCTACTCAGAGCTCACAACTGACCTTGCTTTGAGCCAGAAGTTGGACCAGAGAGCTCCCCAGGTCCCTTCCAATCTGAGTAGCACTGATACTGTATGAACTGCATAGCTCAGTGCAACCGTCTGGCAAACCCTTTTCACAGATGATTTAAGAGCAGCACACTATGCTTACCAGAAGGGACAAAGCCTCTGTTCCTCTTGTTCCTCATTTGTTCTTTTTTTTTCCTTCCCGTGGGAATTAAGAGTAAATAAAATATGAAGAGATGATTCTGTTCAAATTATTGTGAAGGCTTTACATGATACTAATTGTATTACAAGAATAACTGCTAAAACTATTTACTTTGTACTCCTTTGGAAAACTTACTGAAATACTGAAGTTACAAACAATACTCCAGCATCTGGTAGCTTTCCTTTTAGATGAAATTGAAGCAAGCCTAATTTTCCTTATTAAAATGGATAGAATACCATGCTGTAAAAACTTTCCAGAAAAAGTTTTGAAATTGGCTTCAAAGTGATCACAAAACTACCACACAATTGCTTTTCCAGAATATTTTTTCCAGAAGCATAAAAGTTATTCCAATAAAGGAGAAACCAGAGAAGGAGGGGTAGGATTTACACTTAGAGGTACATGCACAAAGCCTTGGCCTCAAAAGCAGAGTCTGAATTTGAAACTAAGTGATTTCCCTCCCCCCATATTCAACCTACTTGCTGTAGGTCTGTAACAGACATTTAAACAAATATTTTTACCACTTAAAGAGTTTAGATAGCAAAGCCTTTTAACACCCCTATTTAATTCCAGCAGTAGAAAGGAGAATGGGAGTACAGTACTTCTCTGATCTCATAAGGAGCTGGCTGTCATCCAAGAATGAGAAATAGGTAACAGAATGGATACTGTAATACATCTCCGATTGTACTTACATTTTCTAAGTTAAGCAAGCATACAAATGAAGTCATGAAAACAGTATTAGTGCAGAAACACTGGCTTATTCTGGGGCAAGGCCACCTTGCCCCACAAGGCTTCTAGTTCAGTGACTTGCACTATGACTGCTAACATACCAAAGCCAGGAGATTTCTCATTGTGCTGCACAGCAGAGTAAGTGTCAACTTGCTGTGCAGCACAAGCTTTCTGCAGTTCCAGTACTTGGCACTACTGCTGAAACTCTTACCAGAAGCTTTAGTTTTGCAAATGAAGATCCCAGTTGCTTTCCAACACATCAGTGTGGAATTTGCAATGATGGGGCACGCTTCCTGTGTGTATGCAAACACCTAGCTTTGCAATTAGAGAGAAAAGTAGGACTGAATAGGTCTTTAATCTGCTGTTTAGTGCATTTTTTTCCCCATAAGAGAAGGTAAAATAGGTATGCCTGCCTTTTTCTTACTTCTTACAAGGACAAGTCCAAATATAGACTCAATAGATCAAACAAGAGATCAAACTGGCAAATGCTCTTAAGAAATCCGTCATCCAAGTGAGCAATACCCTTTTGTTTCCTCTTAGCAGAGGAAACTACATGCAAGTGTTAGATTCAAAACCACATGCAACTGTCAGGAGGGAGAACTGGTGTTCCAGTAGGCAGAGAACACAGGAAAGTAGATCTGTTATTCATCCCTTGTAGCTTCAGGTAAGAGGATGTCGCTCAGTTTTCTTCACAATAACTCTCTCCACAATTTTTTTGAATGCACAGCTACAAGTCATCCTCCATGCACACTGCCTATCTCTACTTAATTTTTCAGTGCATTTTCAAAAAGTTGCTTACTTTTTTTACTGAGCTTTAGCACATTTCTCCCCTCTGTCCTTCTTCACTAACTCTACCTCATCTTCCTCTTTCATTTGCATTTTCAGTCCTCCTTCACTATAACCATTGTAAAAGCTTAAACTGTAACTAAAAGTAGAGAAATAAATTTTCTGTTGAACTTCTGAGTTTCTTACAGACATAGGTTCACATAAAGAGCTCTTTCTCAAGTACTTAAAAATTTCAGAGGTTGTAAGAGAATTTTTGAACCATTTGTAACCATACATTACTCATGACAGCCTGATAATTTGGAACCCCAGTTAGTTTACTACACAGTTCCTGCTTGTCAAGCTTGGCTGACCATGAATACCTTGCACTTGTCGTGGCATAATAGTGTCAGACTCAGCACACCACCACAGAAACCACCTCAAGACTACTTTATTGAAAAAAGCATGTTCAAAAGCAATTGAAGGTTTAATTTACAGGCCAGCTACGGCTCTCAGAGGCACACACTATAAATCTGTGTTGATTTCAAAGTAAGCTGCTTTAATCAGGAAAAAGGAGAGCAAAGTCTTGGAAATTACCTTTAAGTAACATTTGTCAGATTTGCCTGTAGAAGGTTTGGATAACCTGATGCAAAAATGTGCTGGAGTCACACCTACTGTGGCATTTACAACATTGCTAAGATACGCTTAGCCAGAAAGCATTTATTAATGCTTTCTTATTCTGTGTGGGGTTCTAGTCCTGAAGATTGTGCCATCCTGTTTCTGATTGTAGTGTACAATTACAAGGTAGAGTGATCATTGTTTCCTACAGCTGCATAGTCATGTTCAGTTCTGCTCCTAACAAGACAATTCTTTTAAAATAAAGGTCAGACAATGCATTTGCAGTAACAATTATACCATGCTTGCATCATTTTAAATGTAACAGCAGAACTACAAGGATAGAACAATCTATGATTTCAGCTTGCAAATAATGTAAAAGACTTAAAAAATGTTTTATAGTCAATCCCAACTACAAACATATCCATTTTTTCTTTTGAGGGAAGCTCAAACTAAAACAAAGTCATAAATAATTTTTCAGTAGATATATCTATACATACATATATGTACTGAAATCACCTTGAAGAATTCAATTCCAGCACTAAAAAATAAAACTTTCTAAAATATACTTAAGTATTTCAAGGAAAATTCAAGGATGATTCATTAATAAATGTCAGACATTATAAACGGCAGAAGACTGCTTATTTGGGGTAGTGCTGTTTGTAGAGCAACGAGGTCAAAAGGATTGCAGTAAGAACAATTGAGATGACGAACTGAGAACATTATATTAATAATAAAAAAAAAGGAAAAATAAGGAAAAGATATTTGCCTGATGCTTTTTACATGCAGGCTGACAGCATTGAGGGCAGACCTTAATCAGCAATTTGGATCATTCCTTCACAGTATGTTACTTTCTGTCTCCTGCCCATACATACCAAATTTCCAACTTCCAACAATAAGGCTCCAAAAGCAAAGTTATTTCTCCCACTCTGCTGACTCATTACAGACCATAATAAAAGTGAGCACAATACACTAAGAGTCATTTCCATAGTTTCTCTTTACTATCTCAAGCAAATAACATAGAAAAATGAGTAGTTTTGGTTCAAGCTTTTTTATTTGCTTCAGTCTTAACAAATTAGATTTAGACCATCACATTCATCATCTTAAAAATCTGCACAGACATGAAATCAAAATCTTAGCCAATGCTTAAGATCACTTTTTCTATCAGAAGAATGTGCAATACCACAATAAAGACAATAAAATAAGTAGGCAGATCTCCTAAGCATAGACCTTTGCCACAGGTGTATATGGAACTGGAAAAATGTTTCTGCAGTGGTTGGTCCAGACTCACCCCACTCATCTGTACTCTGATAGCTACCAAAGTCTCAGTCTGCAGAGGACCAGAAATGCAGGAGTAGCCAAGGTTTATTTCACATTGATTAAATCTAACTGTCTTCAATGCCCAATCGACTATTGATAAAAAATCTTTTGAGGAAGAAATTCCACAGAGATGAAATATGCCTTCTTATCACCCGGACAGTTTTCTCATCACATTCAGCTGTTCAGCCTAATTTTCCAGTTTCAGAACTTCTTTTCTGTCAAGTTATGACCTCATTACAGTCATATAATATGCATTTTTTTTTTGTCTAAAGAGATGGAATTCTTGTATCATCCACTGCCTTTCAGTAAACAGTAATTCCAGTTAGCAAAGTAAATTATTTCCTTACGCTTTCTTCTTCTGGTAGGTCTTGGACAGCCAAGCTCAGCTCATTAGCAATTCACACAGCAATAGCAGAAACACCAGAAGTCCATGGTGGCACAGACTACACAGAAAATCGTTTTTCTTTCCCAAAACATCCTTGTGCTTTACAAAAAACAGCTCAGTCAATGAAAGCTTTGCACTGGAAAAGTTAAATGGAAACAAGCAGAACAGAGATTGCATGTGCACACCAAGGTGTTAGCCCACATAAAAGTCCAAGGAATTTTAAATAGCCACCACCTTACCTGTAGTGATAAGGAAAATCCCAGGAGGAAAAAGAAAAAAAAAAAATCACTAGCTACTTGTGGCAGAGCACCAGAATTATGAATCCTGGAAAGAACAACTTTAGGAGCAGTTCCGTCACAGCGGCAGCCCCCTCGGAATTGAGCGGAATGGAGAAGCAGCAATAATTCATGTTTTTTATTGTATGGGTTTTCCTTGGTCTCTGTAATTGCATGGTGCCCCCCCACTCAGCACCATATGGTCTCCCCTCTGCGAACGCAGACTCTACCTCTGCACAAGCAGGATAGGCAGTCTTATCCACTCCTCCCCAGTCCCTGGTTTTGTTACTGGACTGTGGTCCTTCTGTACCCCCCATTGGTTAGCAGAGCCCTCAAGCCACTCTCTTTCCCCCAGACCTGGGCCCAATCATGTTCTTCCTTCTAGCCCTCCCCCTGAGATGATATAAGTCGCGGGACTTTCGAATAAAGGACTTTTCTCCTTGGAACTCAGAGAAGGAACTAGGTTGCTCTCTCCTCCTGCTAAGGAGGACCACGTGGCTGAGATTCCTCTGAGAAACCGCAAGTGAGGAGTCGGAGCAATCAATTTCTGTTAATTGGTGCCCAACAGGAGAACCATGTGAAATTTTCTACTGTGTAGAAAATTTTCAGGCATCTCTGGGCTCAGGCGACGTAGCACCCTTGGCTTCCCGCTCAAATGGATTTCTGCAACTCAGTGTTGGATTTTGACCTACCGAACACAGGAGGTAGGCCAGCAGTTGTATAGTTCTGGAACGCAGCAGCGTTATAGATGGTGTGTCTCCAGACCTCCCGATTGGAGGCCAGAGTAGACCAGTTATGATGATCAATATGGCCGAGGCTGAGATGTTGTTTCAGGGAGTCCTCGTATCTTCTCTTCGGGGCTCCTCTCTTGCGGCAGCCGGTGGCAAGTTCACCATAAAGCAAGATCTTAGGGAGGCGGTGGTCCTTCATCCTTGAGACGTGCCTTGCTCAGCACAGCTGTGTTCTCAGCAACATGGCCTCATTACTTGTGACTGCTGCTTGTTCTAGAACATACGTGTTAGTCACATAATCTGACCAGTGGATGTTTAGGAGACAGCGTTGATGGAAGCGTTCCAAGAGTAGCAGGTGGTGGCAGTAGATGACCCATGATTTGGATCCATACAGAAGAGTAGACAGCACAATGGCTCTCTGTAAACACTGACCTTTGTACTTTTCTTCAGGTGTTTATTTCACCAAACTCTTTTATGAAGCTTTTCGAAGGCACTGTATGCCTTTGCTAACCTGTTGTCTATCTCTCCGTCAATCTTACCATCCGAGGAGATGAGGCTACCTAGGTAATTAAACTGCTGGACTGATTTGAGCTCTGATTGGCCAATGGTGATATGGGGATGATGGAAGACTTCCTGAGGTGCAGGTTGATAGAGAACTTCTGTCTTCTTTAAGCCGACTTCAGCCCAAAGAGCTCAGCAGCGTCTGCAAAGCAGGATGTTAAACGCTGCAGAGCTGCTCCTGTGTGGGCGACAAGGGCGTCGTCGTCAGCATAAAGCAGCTCCTGGACAAGGTGATTTAAGGTCTTAGTGTGGGCCTTCAGTCGCCTTAGGTTGAATAGGCTTCCATCGGTACGATATCAGATGTAGTTTCCGTCCTGATCCTCGAGGTCTGCCGTGGCCCTTTGGAGCATCATGCTGAAAAAGATTGTGAATAGGGTTGGTGCAAGAATGCAGCCTTGTTTCACACCACTGGTTATTAGAAAGGGCTCAGAAAGTGCGTTGCCATATCTGACTTGGCTGCACTGATCCTCATGAAGTGAGATGATAATTTTAAGGAACTTAGGGGGACATCCTTAACCTTCCAAAATCTGCCACAGACCTTTTCTGCTCACAGTATCAAAAGCCTTGGTGAGGTCAACAAAGGTTACATAGAGACCTTTGTTCTGTTCCCTACACTTCTCTTGCAGTTGTCTGAGAACAAACACCATGTCTGTGGTACTCCTGTTGGCTCTGAAACCACATCAGCTTTCAGGTAGAATTCCTTCTGCAATAGCAGGTGTTAGTCTGTTCAAAAGTATTCTTGCCAGGATTTTGTCAGCAATGGAGAGCAGAGTGATACCACGGTAATTTGAACAGTCTGATTTAGCTCCTTTCTTCCTATACAAAGTGATGATGACTGCATCACAAAGGTCAGATGGTAGCTCACCTAGT